AACAAACCTGAGTTTTTCAGAAGTGCAGATGGTAATTTTCCTTGACAATCATAAACTGTACTGGCTTCTGTGTGAAAACATTATGTAATACAGGTGTTTTATTATCTGACTGGATACTGGGTAGTAGATCAAATTTATATCACAGCAACAATGTCCACACTACTCTTCGCTGTCTTCTTTTTGATGCCAAAATTTTAAGAAAGAGATCAGTGCTCCCAATGTGTTTTGATTAGTGAAATGAAGACATGCTCATAATCTATCAGTAAGGGAGAACAGTTTCATAAGGTAGACAGAAGTGTTCATTTGGAAAAATACAGGCAGTGGCTTTGAGAACAACCTCTTAAGTACAAAGTGATTTTGATGAGAGAAGAGTGACAGTGGAATTACAGTTAAGACCTATAATCTGCAATATCCTGGAAGAAGAATGTAGGGAAACAAGTTTGTGATGAAAACATCTGCTCAGAGCAGACATCTTGACCTTCATTCTGGTCATAATGGGCTTGTCTGCTGGAGTTCTCAGCATCGTAGAAGCAGCCAGAACAATCTGTTCTCCCGCTGATGTATATTAATTACCTGTCAATACACCAGGAGAGAATTAACTAAGATTTTTTAAAGGAACAAAAACATGGTTTTCAGAAATATTTGCAGTTCTGTCATGTCCTCAGAATTTATCTGAGCCTGTAACTGTTGAAGTAGGTTACAGAGTAAAAACAGAGTATGGAGAACGCTACAGCTGAGGTACGTAGATGACCACCTGTACTTTGGTTAATCGCGACAGTGAGGCAGCAGCTCAATTGCATAGATCACTATGCATGGTACTGACATGGAGTTCCTACCTTGTCATTCTGCATCTGAGCCTCTCTGGGCCATTTTTTTTTCCTGATGATTAGCAAGTAATCCTGTCACTGTCACTAAAAACGCAGGTGCATGCTTTCTCCTGCATTGCTGCTCAAGAAGCTCAGGTACACATGGATACCGAGGTGCAGGCATAGAGTGGGAGCAGACTTCTTCCAGCTGAGGCAGATTTCACCATGGAGATACACTGCCAGTATGCTTTGCTTGTGGTGTGTCTGCTGCAGCAAAACATCACTGACATAACTACCTTCTGAATATTTATCATATATGGAACAGAAGCTGTTTCCAGCTTTTAAGTTATAACAGCACAGCTTTAGCTTTTCATCACTTGTGATCTGTGTGGGCACCAGATAATTGAGAGGTATTTAATCTGTAAGGATTTGTCCCTTTCCACTCCATGATGGGCCTGCATGTGCAACTGGATGCACAGTTTGTGTAGCAGAAAAAGGAAGACACAGTCCTAGTGACCGCCAGAATGGCACAGAAGCCAACCCTGAGATATTTGTAACCAGGTATTGCTATCAAGTACTTACACACTGGTTGTCTTCCTGACACAAAAGCATATACTACATATACCAGCATATACCAGCAGAAACAGAATTTAAGCACTACTATTCCCACAAGTAAAGGAAATATTTGTTTTGCTCCTTTGATATAGTCACATCTGTGCCCTTGGGCAGTATCTGTGTTTGCACCAGCACACTGGCCTCTGTGCTGGTTTTATAGTTTTCAGTTTTTTCTCCTCCAACAGAGTTCACTGGTATTTCTCTTGAATGACATTTATTTCATCTGCAAATACCTACTTATCATTTTTTGGTTATTAGTATTGCAAGATGGCATTAGGATCTGAAGTGGGATGCACATTGAAATAAATTTGCACTGGAATTCCACAAACCTTTGCTTCTTCATCAGTGTGATTCAAGGGACATATTGCCTACATCTGTACTTAATCAAACAGGGCTGTGTTGGCCAATATAATCTAATTGTTTGACATTTTTATAGTAATTCATTGAGACTAAAGAGAGATGACTACATTAATATCTTGATGCAGCTAGATAATAGTTGAGATATAACTGGTGTGCCAAATTGCTGAAAGGCCCCTAAATTCTCGTACAGATTTTTAACTATTTGTGACATAGGAAAGGAAAGAGACTTTAATATAAAGTAATAAAGAGAAAAAATAGTACAATCTATAATATTAAGTATTATAATAAAGAACATTATCATAAATTTTCTAGGAATCTTCTCTTCACCAATCATTTAAAATTATACTTCTCAATAATTGAGATGAGAATTATTGTTAATGCTCATGACTCTGTTTTCTTGGATAATCATTTTCACTGAGGTCATAATTAAACAAAAATGTTCTTACCATATAATATGCATATTATTCCTCTAGCTAGACTGTGAACAAATATGTCAAATAGGTCTGCCTTGTGTATATCTGTGGGAACATGCAGGCTGGAATAGTGATGGAGGAACATCATGGACACTCTAAACATATGTGAATGCTGAACCTGCTTAGGCTTGGACCTCATCTCACTGTTAAACCCTTCTCTCCTTTCCAAGTGCATTTCCTCATCTCACTGTTAAACCCTTCTCTCCTTTCCAAGTGCATTTGTTGGGGGAAGGAGTCTCCTCTGAGTGGGATGTCAGATCTGCAGGTAAGCAACCAGAGGGAAAATATTAGAAGTGTTTTATTTTGGAGGTGTTGCTCTGAACACAGTGAAGAAATGAATGGAAATAAATGCTTTATAATGTTACATTAATTTATCTGTTTATAATGAGATACAAATAGATTATTTAGAAGCTAATTCGCATCAGAGCTATGATGGAATAATCTGGTTTATGGTGAACTTCTGGTAGAGCTTATCTTCAATAACGATCTCTGCCCCTCTCCATGCCATTGCACTTTGAAAAAGAACTCCTCCAGCAGTGCTCTGCAGTACATGTGGTTTTAGGAGAAACAAAATCTGTATGTTAAGACATTTGTATCTTCCAAAAGCAGTAAGGAAGCCCCAGAGAAGCTGTGTTGTTTGTTGTCAAAGCAAGAACACGAACATTTTGTAAAGTTTGTAAAGACATTCAGTGTCTGAGCTTTCACCATCATACCTGCAAGTAAGTGATGAGGTGAGCTGATCTTATGACCTTTAAAATGTATCCTTTTTCTAAATTTGAGGCTATGAAAAATAACTTGCACAATGTACTTTCGAACCTCAGTATTTTATGCCTTACTGAAATTATTTTTGAAAACTATTTTGGATATTTTCCCCCATGCTCAAATGTTCATGTCATGCTCTTACCACATACTGCAAAAATGTGTCCCTTTAATCACTGTGCACATCTCTGAACCCCTAGTTTTGTTTGTAGTTCAAAAAAACCAATTATTTTGTTATATTGAAAGACTTAACCTAGATCCTATTTTGCTCCCAGGCTGATACTCTTCTGGTTGGCCCACCATGACAATGTATCAAGGTGTTCACACTTTTTAAAATGTACTTTCTGGAAAGTAAGTAGGAAAAAGGGTATCCTCCGCCTCCCAAAAAGCATTACTGAAGACGTTTTAAGATGAAAATACCCATTGATTCTATTATTCTTTGCTTCTATCAGAGATGGGTACAGAGACAGCTTGCTGTTTTCTACTGCTTTCCATACATTTTTACATAATTTCCATGCATTTTTACATTGTTTTTTTCTTTATAATTACTTTATTATTGTTGCTTTATTTTGTACTACAGAGTGATACTTTACATATCCTCACCTTCTCCAGAGATAAAATAATTCTGTTGCTTTTAATTAAACACTAGCACTTCTGCCAATTCTTCATGATTTAATATATGTAATACCATTAACTTGTGATTAACCTAGGTCAATATATCCTTGAAAGAGAAAATCAGAGTCTTAAATGCAAGAATTTTCACTTTCAAATCATATCTGTCTGTTTTAACGGACTAATGAGCACAAAAAGCTGCACAATTAATAACTGAATACCATACTCTTCCTATCTCACAGTATTTCCAAAACATTTTAAAAAGGCATATACATTTGTTCATTGTTCTGCTACAGATAAGACAGGATTAAAGAATGTCCCTGTCAGAATAAGGATGTTTAGGATTGAGCCCTGCAGAAGTTCAAGCCAAAATTACACTCTAAAAGGCAGTCACCTCAGGAAATTTTGTGAGATGAATAGGAAAAGTGTACAGTCTTTTGCAGTGAGTTTTCACATGTGCAGCTCATGATTTTATTTGTAGTCTAACTCCTCTCTTTGGATCTTACCATCCCAAAATGAAATCAGGGCAACAGAATCTGAACATCCTTCTAATCAGAAAAGGATCTGATGCTTCCTAACCTCTCCTCTTCTGCAAAGGACACCTTGTAGAAAAGGTCCAAAGGGCTTTTGTGAGATACAAAACGAAGAGCATGACTGTCCATGGTGTGAGTGCTGTGAGGGGCAGGAACAGACAGCCAAGGCCAGAGTGGCTCAGGGACATGCTCCATGCCTGTCCTTCCACCCAGCAGGCAGCTACAGCTCACCTTCTCACGAGTCATACTCAAACCAGTCTCTGCAACATACCAGCGTTTCAGGATATGCTTTGTGCTGGATGTCTGTATTACCTTTTCCTGACTCTCCAGCATCTCCAGCTGCTGCAGGAATGGTTCTTGACTTCCAAGTCAGCAAGGTACTGCTTAGGGACTAGCTTTGAGCACAGGTGTCTCAGGTAGTCCCACTCTTTTTCAAGGCAATATAGTTTTTCAAACATTAACTTAAGAGAAAGCAGGAAAAAAAAACCTGATAGAAACAAAATTTCTGTATTCTGTGTAAAATAATTCTATTTTTTGGAAGTAAAACTGAACCATGGATGATTCATTCCATATCATATTTCTATAGCTAAGGCCCATACAGGATGGAGCTAGTGTAGCTTCTTCTATACCATTATGGAGCAACAATTATTCCAGCTGGCATTGTTCTAATGTCTTTTCTAGAAATAATGGTTTTCCATCCTAAAGCATTTAAATACAGTCAGCCTTTGCCTTTTCTCCTAAAATACATTCAATTAAAGATGGATTTTATATAGGATTAAAATTCCAATGTGCCTTAGCACAAGCTTAGTTCTTAGCAACACTTCATACAATGATCCCCAACACTCTGTAAAACAGAAGTCTGTCTTTATTACACTCATAACCTGGTTTGACTTTTCATGTGCAAGTGACATTCCACTAAAGCTACATATATTGCTGCACTTCACTGTGCGAATTAAATATGAGATGGAATACAGACATGGAAAGCTGGGAATTTCCATTAGTTTTCACTGTTTACAGAAGCAGTATCTGTGTTATAGTCCTTGTTTCTGAAAGTGGAGATGTAGTAACAAGTTAATAATTTATTCTGGAATCAGCAGCCCAACTAAAGCAGTGAGGATGTGACTTAAGCAGAAACAGGCACTTAAGGAGTGGAGGCAGAGAGACACACAGCGGTGGGCTGCAAGTTGGCTGTGGATTGGGAAGAGAAATGCAGTGGAGGAAGGGACTCACCTTATGGCTGGGTGTTTGACTGCACCCATAGAGCCAAGCAGCTCTTACAGGCCCTGAGGAGCCTGGGACCTCAAAAGCTCATGTCCACAGGACCACAATGTCCTTTCCCAGTGACAACAAATCTTTATATTTGGTGACTGTAACAATGAAATACACTGTAGCATTGTATTAATGATCCCGTCTCCTACTCTACATGGGACACATTTTGTTTTCTGAAGCTGTCAAAAGGGCCAAAGGTTGTCGGCTTCTGCGTTCATGCTCAGTTTTCCTCTTAGAAATGGTGCTATGAACTGCCATGGGGGCCATCTCTCTGCCTCTTCTGTCCTGGGTTGGCGCTGCTCTCTCTGAAGTCAGGTTCATGTTGGACTCTGCAATTCCTATGGCACTGCAACTGAACAATTGAATCAGACACTGCCTGAACTAAAAAGGTGAAAAAACAGGAGATCAGTAAAAACACATAAGAAATGTAAAAATTATTCTATACATCAATCTGTATATTATCTAAAAGTCTTGGAAATTCTCTCATGAATCAGTTGGGAATATAAAGAAATAACCCTATAAAATAGATTTGCCTATGCCACCACGAAGAACTCTAAACCTAAAAACTAACTATGTTCTGAAAAGAGTCAATCTTAATCTAGAAAATAATTTTTGTGCTTCTAGGTAATCATATCTAATGGACATGATTGGTCATTTCTCCAGACCCATGCTTTCATATACTAAATTCCTGGCTCCTCAAAGATGGGTTTTTATTGTTTCATCCACAAACAGGGTAAAGTGTAGCACACATCTACATGTGATGTGGGAGATCAGGGTGCTGTACACAGGATGTGAGACAAGCAACAGCTCTCTCTGCAGGACTGGATAAATAGATTCAACATTTTTTATTTAACAGTCACTTAACTGTTTTTCTTTATTTAATTTATTGGCTTGGTGCCACCACTCAGTTGCTGCATTCGTTGCAGAAATCTGCCCATGTTTATTATCATGTCTGTTATCACAGTGAGCACACAGCATGCTGGTTCATCCCCATGTCAAGTCTTTTTTTCTGCATCCAATCCTCTGCCCTCGTTCCAGAGAAAAAAGCTCTCTGCTAAATGGGCATGTGCAATACTTCTACCCCTCTGCACATAAACCACAAATGCCTCATTGCCCCAAGACAGATTCAAGCTTTGAAAATGTGCACCCCACCTCAAGATCAACTTAATGGTGTTGTGTTCTTAAAGAATTATTGAAATATATTGGGACAGTCTTGAGACGATAATTTTCATGCAGAAAGCTAACTCATGTTTCTAAGGGCTGATTTTCCTTTATAATATCTAAACCTAATGATTATTAGCATTTATATTTCAATAATGCTCAGAGTTTTACACTATCTTCCACCAGGCAAATTATTTTTTTCATTCTAAATGCTGGATATTGTAATGCTTGTTAGCTAACACATATGTAGGTAGAAATAATTCATTATAAAGCAAGACAAAATAGCAAAATATGAGTGTTAGAGACACTCAGAGCATACAGTACCTGTTTGTTCATAAAGACATAAATAATTGGATTATAAACAGTAGCTGTTTTGGAAAAGAAGGCCGGAAGTGCTGCCAGACAAGGATTCAGCTCAATGGAGGGATATGCAGTGACTAGGATGGAAAAGGTAGCGTATGGCATCCAGCAGATTAGAAAGGCAATGATCATAAAAACAACCATTCTAGTCACTTGTCTTTCAGGTCTCCTGGTAGTTCCCAGCCTGCCTTGTGCATCTGACACCTTTTAAGAAAAGAGAAAAGGTTCTAGAAAACAAACAACAAGGTGTCCATCCAGTGACTTTAGTGAGCTGTCTAGCTGCCACGCTAGAAGGAAAGGCCTGCTCTTCCCAAGGGCAGCAGCACAGAGGCACGGGTGCCAAAGCTACTGCTGAAGGACACGAATTACCATACACCAGCATTAGTAAATGTTCCTTTGCTTAAGAATCTTTATATTTTTATTGTCAAAGTGAAAAAGAAGAACATCATGGTGAGTCATAAGGAGATACTGAGCTAAATTAAAGCACTTTCTATTCCATGTAGCTTTTGCAGACAGCTGGGTGTCTGGCATGCTGCTGAGGCTGTGCAACCTCCTCACCTAGGGGCAAATGCACACCAGGGGAGTCTGTCTGGCTCAGTGGTGCTTTATGGCCCTCCCCAGAAGAGCATTTATGAACTAATGATATCAGAATTAAAGTGGGATTGGGGCATTTAGTAGGGATGCTCTCCCTCTTTTCCTCAGTGATCATGCAAGAATCTTAAGCGCAGAGGTTCACACAGAAATTAGCTGATGTCAAACAGTGTCTTTCTGGGAAACATCCCTGATTGGTTTCTGATGACTTAGCAAAACAAGACGCTGTTATGAAATGCTATTTTACATGAGAAATAATAACTCTGTATGGCTCCAGAAAAACCTGATGCCATGTCTTGCAATGTTACATTCTAATAAAATAAGATTTGTTTGCATAAGGTGGCCTTTTAACTTCCTGCAGTAATGTTAGAACTCTATGGAGACATTTTCCCTAATACTTTTGAACTGCACTGGGAGAATTCAACGTTTGTGCTTAAAGAGGTATAGATGCACCTCCTAGGAAGGGCAATGTCCTCACCTCTGTAGAAAGTTGTAATTTGCATCAGTTTTTACCAAATGTAAACATACCAACAACATCAACAACAATAACAACAACAATAATTAATTGTTACAATAACTGCAAGTTATTAGGCATTAACAAAGGCTGTGTTTGGTAATGATAAGATAGTCCCTGCCAATATATGAGATTTCTATAGCATTTTTTTAATGTATGCTGTTCCTACATAGAGAGTGGCCCAGCTTCCCTTTCAGCAGATTGCAGTCTCCTGAAAAAGGAACACAATCTCTTTTATTGCACTTTCAAAGATTTCATCTTTGTCTCATATCAGTCTGGTATTTTTTTCACGTATAACTTTTCCTTTCTCTCTAAATACTGGTAAAGAAAAACATACTGATGCTTTATCTTCCAAACAAAGGAATACTGCCACAATAATTTACCTCTATGGTAAACTGCTAATTTTTTATTTTCCCAAAGATTAATTTCTCTGATCAACTTTGATGTTGCAGTGAAAGCTACAGTTGGCATTGGAAAGCTGGGGGCACTGGGACTGACAACTGGCAGATTATTCCACTCAGGAACAATCCTGCACTGTGACAAAGGTGGGACAAAATGCATGAAGAGGGATGGTTGGGAACATCAAGACACCGGTTCTGGTGCTTGGATCTCTCTCTGCTCATTGTAGTCAGATTTTTGAAAATGAGCTTAGTTGTGAGATACAATCATATGGCAATTCAGTATAGATTTACAAAAAGTGTCACAGGTACTGGCTTTTCAGAGCTTTGTAGTAAATAGAAATATCAATATTGTCCCAGAATCTTGTTCCCAAATCCTGGACCAAATAGGAATTTTCCTGTTCTATTGTCTTCTTTATCACATTTTGCAGCTTATCCTTTGGATCAGGTCAACACAACCACTAAAGAAAATTCAAAAGCTTTTCTCAAGTTATTAAAATATTCCTGGACAATCTAATATTTTGTTTCTTAAACAGCAGGGCATTATTTGCAAAGGCTACATCTTATTTTGAGCATATTACTAAGTAGTAGGCAGCACTCTTAAAATTTACAACTGCGGTCATTTTAAGATGCATTCTAATTTGCCTGGTCTGAGTCTTATGAAATATCACTGAATTGAAGCATAATTGTGAATAAAGCAGTACTGGATCATTCTGTTTATTTATTAGGTAGACATTCTTTCACTTGTATGATGTTTGACTAATGAGATGTACTGATAAGTGATGTGAACTCCACACTCTAAAACCCCATTTCTAACTGTAGCATGAATTTCTGTTTGTAAGGATAATTATATAATAAGGGATATAACTGAGTGTGTTTGCTGCCTGCAAATCTGACCTGCTTATGTCTGATCTTTACAGAAAATCAAACACAGTAATTCTAAACTTTTACATGCATACAATTTTAAAAGTTTTCTTATGGGTGCTTCTTCTTACCTTTTTTAACTTCCACACCAGTTTTCCATAGGATACCAAAATCACCAATAAGGGTACTATAAAACAGGTGGTGAAGAACGTAATAATGTATGTACGGTCAGCATAAGCTCCTGAGTACCTGTATAAAATACAAAATACCTCTGTATGTATTACTATTACGTGTTCTTATTATTTTCTAGGAATATTAATCTTTATTTTCAAATATGCCACTAGTATCTTTGTCAAATGTTTTTATTCAACATGCCCCCCTTTGCAGCTCTAGTCATATCCCCAGATGGAGCCCTGGGCCATTTCCCTGCCCAGGGATCCTACAACTATAGACACAGTATGAAAGGACTGTGGGGCTGATTACATGGGAAGGGACATGTAGTCCAACCTCCTGCCCCAAGTAAAGCCAGCTACGGGGTCAGACTAGCTGGCTCAGAGCGTTGTCCACTCTATCTCTTTGCCCTTTGACTCTTGACAAAAAGCACAAGGTCTAGGGTGATTATTTTCATTAGAGATGGAGGCTCCAACCTTTAGAAATTTTTGTTTTAGAAACTGATCATGAAAAATTTTGATCAGTTTTATTACAACTTTCTTTACATCTGATTTTTTTTCAGAGATTTACATAATCTTTAACCCTTTCCTTTAAATTCCTGGCCCTGAGGCATCCTGAACCACAAGTTTCATATTTTTACCATCCTCTGTGAGAGTGGCCTTACCAGTTAGGCTCACAAGTAGTTCCAATCTTACTGGGAGTGTAACTGCTCCAACCAGTTGTTGGTGGAAAGGTCCAAATGAAGGAAAAACTCCACACAAAGACAATACCTAGAGCTGCATGCTTCCCCCTCAAGCGTGCATTTCTCGGCAGGCAGCAGATCACAACATACCGCTCAAAAGCCAGCAGAGCAAGAGACCAGAGAGCTACAATGCCTATAGCAAGAGAAGACAGCATCAAATTTGGGTAGATCACTGAACAGCAAACACCATTCTAAATTACAGAATCCCTGAACTGTTTGTTTTGAAAAGCATCTCTGGAGGTCATCACTCCCCCTCAAGCACTGTCCATCTAGTAGGTTGTTCAGGACCAAGTCCAGCTGGGTTTTGAGTATCTTTGGAGATGAAGATTCCACAACCACTCTGGGCAGCCAGTTACACTCTGACTACCCACAACACCAGTCACCTTTTCTATGAACACAAGTTATGAAAGGATGGGCAATTTATGTGCATTATTTAATGAAGAGCATAAGAATTTAATGTTTGTCCAGTTTGGCAGTCTACAGTAAAAGGGCTACAAAACCAAGCAGCTAATCAGGCCAGTTAAGTGATTAGGACTTGCACTTTTAGTTCTACACTGAAAAGCTGCAAATTATGTGTAGCATCCAAAGTAATTAACTAAAATGTTCAAAACATTATCTTTGCAAAAATTATTTCACGCGATCAGAAAACTCAAACGTGCAGACAGCTGCCCGCAACATCAAATTGTCAGTTTAGGCACATGTTACCTGGTGGGACACCAAAATCTTGAAACAGCCTGATCTTTCTCCATAGGACACAGCTTACATGCCACAAACTGATGTAGAAGCATTGTCCCTCAGCGACATTCCCTCTGTCTAACTTGAACAGGCAGAGAGCAGCTGTGGGATTCCTTTACAGGCTGAGGATCAGCACTGTGTGATTTAGAGCAGGGACAAGCATTACTGGCTGTCTTTATGCAGCTTCAGAGACAGGGACAGGACACAGGAATGAGTGTCTGTCTCAAGTGAGTAAATCCCCCATTCTAAACTAATATCCCATTTACTCTGCAGAGATGTATTTACATGGGGTATTGTGTAGTGAGGATTTTTCCTCTTAGAGTACTTCTAATTTTTTTTTGTAGTAAGTGAACAAAGCCATGAAAAAAAATCACAAAAAGATGTTGGGTGTGCGGACTGACTGTTACAGGTGTGTCCCTGCTCCTCAGAGCCTCTGGAAGACAGAGAACACAAGATATTCTGTGCCCTGAGATTTTCCACAGTTTATGGGCAGCCAGTCACTCTCTTTCTCTCTCTCTTATTTATGTGTATCTGCACACACAAATACAAATATTGAAAATAGCTATGCATAAGAACTTTTTTCCTGAAATTTTTTTACTATAAGCTCCACAATGCTGCTATTATATTGGGAGGCTTTTCCTCATTCTGTGAAACATATTCAATGATCAGTACACATATATGACAGGGATAGAGAGATATATTTTTCACTTTCCACTACAGAATATATGTAACAGGGGAAATTACCAGTGAATTGAAAGGCATGCAAAGTCAGTGATTTAGGAAGCTGCAATAGAATACATTGAAGGAAGTTGAAGGAAGTTGAAGGAAAATAATATACAACTACAAACAAAATCAAGCTTACCAAAAAATGTGACAGCAAATCCTTCCAATACGCAAGCCCAGTATCCCATAAAAAAATAACCTTTTAGATTTGTTAAAAAGCTGATGGTACCACCAGTCAGTGAGACCAGGAAATCAGCCACAGACAAATTGACTATAATATAATTGACAGGTTGTCTCAATTGCTTGAACTTAAAAGTTACCAGGATTACAGCCAGGTTCTCAGCAAGTGACAGGGAGGTCACCAACAACATTACTGCTGCCAGAAGCCTGAATTGCCAGGGCTGGATGGAGTCCAAGGGACGACGGAAGGGATCCCATCTGGCAGAAGCAGAGTAACTGGGCAAGAGCGACCCATTTTCAAATGCTCTGAATGCATCCATTACTTTGTTCAGTAGCAAAAATAATATCATATAATATTGGAGTTTCAAATAATATTCAGGATTAAAAGAAGATGTTTGCTCTCTCCAACAGAAGTGTGAACAAACTTCTCCTTCTGCTCTCCAATAATAACCGAGGAAAAAATGTTTCAGTTGGAGGAATGTTTAGTGCTACAGAGTAGAAGTGGGAAGAGGATTAGCAAGAATATCTCTTAGAGCAACATCTGCCCCTCTCTGCCCACTGTCTCTCTCTCACTGCAGCTGTGCTTTATCTGTAGTAGATTTCCTCCTCCTGCAGCAGCCAGCAGTGCTGAAATACCCCTCAGCTCAGCCCTACTCCGTTGAGAAAAAAAATCAGTGTTTACTTGGGAGCCTCCCACACTCCCATCACTTCAAAAAGCAAGTCTAGCTGCTGAGAGGGAGTTGCCTGTGGTGAGCCAAAGAGCTTACAGGAATTTGGGAAAAGCGACTGTAATGCTGAAAGCAAAATAATGTCATGTTTGACATTGTGCTGACCCTTTTCATTGGGTGGTTCCCAAAGAATTCTTCATGGGTGAACTTTTCTCTACAGACCTTCAGAAACCAACAGATAAGGCCACACATAGAACCAACAGGGAGCAAAACCAGACCTAGGGACTCTTTTCCTCTAGCTGCACAAGATTAGATCCCACTGTCTCTTAGCAAAGCAGTTATTTTTTTCTTAATCAACCTATCTCAGATAATCAATAAATGAAAATAAATGTCCTAAATATTTCACTTGCTCAGAGGTATTTATAATGACTGATGTAAAATTAACCTACACCTGGCTGTAGTGATATGTGCAATACACACGGGGGTCTCATTTTATATATGTCATATTTAGTGAAGTTCTGCTGCTAATTTCTAGCCCCAAAATCCATTACTTTCAGCTCAGCTTCTGAGTAGTCTTGTTTTCTTAGATCAGCTGATGATTGAAAAATTTTCTGAAAGCCTACTAAATATAATTACAATATTAAAAACTGAAATTCAGCATCAACAGAAACAAAAGCAGCCAAGTTTTTTGCTTCATACAAACAGCTGAATCTATCTTTACCCAAAACAATTCCTGTAGCCCAGGCAGGTAGCTGGTGAAAAGACTTGATTGCACATTGCTGACAGAAAGAACTGTGTGTGCTGTATCATTTTGCTGGAAGAATTTGTCAGTTTGTTGCTTAACATGTCATCCAACCTCTGATTAAATTGATGGAATTTAACATAATAGTAAGAACTGAGGCATTACCAAAAGTTAATTGCAAATATGGATTTTAAGAGCTGACCCTGACTTGATCCTACATGACTTAATATGTGCTTCTGCTCTAAATAGTGATTTTGGATATTATTAAGAGCGTACATAAAACATTCCTATCTCCTTCTGCTCACTTTGAAAAAAACAGTCTGAAATTTGAAAAATTAAAGGGGCTTTTTTATTTCTCCTGCCCTATGAGTAAATAATTATTTTCAGTCTCTTTGCAGATGGTTTTCCCAAGCAGGGGTGATCTGAACATAAGTTCCATTTCTGCAAACTGAACACACTTGCAGGTGTTTTAATAAACACCGAAATATTTCCAGAGTATTTCCTTTTGAGATGCACCAGAAGTTATCATCCACATAACTTGTTTCCTCCAGTATCCATGGAGCTTGTAATTGCCTATGATTGGATTTTTCTGATGGCATAACACCTTTCATGTACTTTCTTGCCCATCTGAATTACGTTTTACCAAAGAAATTTTATTTTTGTATTTGTATTGAAATAGGACATTTATTGCTGAGAATTTATGGGAAGAAAGTAAAATGTTCTGAGATACTACTTTAAGAGAGAAATTTAGGTCCTATATAAACCAAGCCATATGTCACTTCATCATATACAAAGCTCCATGAAAAAAGAACAATCTCTTCTCACTTCAGTGACTCTCCTAGAACTAGCTCATATGTCACAGAAATGTGTCCCTGTATGCTTCAGATTGTTCAGGGTTAATTTTTTAAACAAGAGTATCTGTTGCAGCCCTGAATAAAAAGTTTGCATATCTTGCAGCCCATAAATGAAGGCTTATAGTGATCCAAATGCCATTAAATTCTGTCACCAAAAGTGAGGCCCATTAAATCAGGGCAAAGAGGGGTTGAAGAGAAGTGGTAAGGATACACAGAAGGACCAGTGCCAGCACCTTCTCCTCGTGCTGTGGGAACGCTGCCCTGGCAGCGCTCCCTTGTGTCCCGGCAGAAGGATGCAGCCTGGGGAGGGACTGCCAGGCTGCACACAGCTGGGCACCAGCCTGGAGAGCCAGGGACTGTGAAACTTCAGATAGAAGTTTGCTGACAGTCCTTCAGATTCAAAACAGCAGAAATTTCACAGGCTGCTTTAGAGCACCGGCAGATACCTTGCAGATAAACTCAGACTGCCCGAGACATCCTGTGCGTGAAATCCCACAGCACCTCTGTTACTCAGTGCTTTAGAGAGAAAAGCAAAGGAAGGGTGTTGGGACAGGAGATGAGGCTTTCTCAGGCAAGGATGCAGGGCAGACTGACTATGAGTTTGCCATAGTGAAAGGCAGTGCACAAAGATAGCTGTCCTGATCTTGTTGACTTCTCTACCAGAAATATTACACCCCAGTACATAGTTTTCCTATATAATCATAGGGAAATGCAAAAAGCAGAGGCTGAGGAGTCAGAACAGTCAGGGTAACACTGAGATCCAGCACAAAGTAAGCTTCTTCATGCATGGAAAAATTCACCACTTATGCAACTTGATAAATGACTAGCAAGCAGCTCTCACAGCTCAGATTTGGCATGAACACAGTCATGGGACTCTGGTTAGAAGCTGGCCAGGGTGGACAGGCGGGCTTGCAGCCCTTGATAAGAGAATAGCACAGGGCTCTCCCCTCCATTCTGCTGGATGTGCATACACTAAGACATTTCTGCATTAACTGCACTAACAGGCAAGCACTAAGCGCATCTCCTTCTGCCTGACTATTCTGTGGATAAATTAATGTACTTCAAGAGAAAATTAAATACATTAAGTACATTAAATATGTACTTCAAGAGAAATATTGTCTGAACAGAAAAAAAGGGTTTAATCTTCAAAATGCATGATGTTTTCTGCCTTCTTCACATTTACAAGTGTCTGATTTGCCACCCTAATTATCTTTCCTATTAAAGCAGACATTTTCTAAATGTTTGCTTTTTGAAAGAAACAATTATAATATCTTTCTGCAATCTTTTCTCCCTTTGAGAAGGTAATTTTAAACCCTTCTTTCCATGAAGTAGTATAAGGACTGCTTCTCAGTCTTTTAACCCTGTTCCAGTGAGGGGTCTTGTTAGTAGTTTTGTTCCTTCCAAATGTAAGTTCATACAGAGTTTTTCTATATCATCAACAAATAAAAAGTCCTTACATTCTGCATAGGTGATTACAAGATACATTTAATTTTTGCAATTCAGATTATATGAGCTAAAATGAATGTAAAACCATTTAGAATTATTTTAATCAGTATAAAAAAATCCCATCTTTCATTACCAAAACAAGGGGCAGTGGGAGAGAAGAATGACCTCAGAAAACCTGAATACATAGTGTGGAATAAAGTGAAGTAACAGGACAGAAGAAAGGATTACTGTCATCATTCATTTAGCAAATTGGATGTCAAATGAGCAAAAATTAATGCCAGAAAGGAAAAAAAAAAGAGGTATTGGTCATTTGGCATATGAGAGGATAGAAAGTGCACATTAGAATGTGTGAAGGTAAAGTTAAGCCTCATGATTTCACATACAGAGTGTACATACGGAAAAAAGTTACGTTCCATGCTGACAGAATATCACTGGGAAATGTTTGTTAATATCACATATTAAAAAATCTGCTAGAAATAAAACTGCCTAAACATCTGTTTCATTCATAAACACAGCACATATACTCTCCACAGTAATTCAGTTTCTCACTAGAGCAAAAACTAACTTCTTGGTCAGATTTCAGGAATATATTTCAAACACATTTGATATTGATGACCTTAATGTAATAAAATAATGTATTAGACTGACCAGATTTCAAGGAAGGAAAATCTCACTGCTTCAAGATAGTTGAGTATCTATAAAGACAAGTTAAGACATACAAACCAACAGGACTAGTTACAGAGGATATCCTTGTCTTTTTCCGTTTTATTGGAATTACTTTATTGGAAGAGCTAAGATCTCTTAAATAACTATATATTTGTTCCTGTATAGGGCTCATACCATGCCTTTTAAAGGTAGAGTTGTCTTTAAATTAAGCTTTTAAAATCCTTTCCTTACTTTCATTTTTCTTAATATGGGATAATTTCTCAATGAGTTATTCCATTGTATTTTTAAACTACATTATCTGACACAACTTTCCATTTTCTACTATGTGTTCTAAGAAATGCTGCTATGCAAAATACAGTTGAGCTCATTCACTTCTGTCCTCAACTGCAAATGAAAGAGTATTATTATTCCCTTGTTAATCCAATTAGCATATACAAATTAAAAGTATTATTTATGTCAGTCAAATTGGTCATTGTAGAATGTATTATCTATAGAACTATTCCTGAATGTCCTCCTGGATTGCTGAAATGACCAAATTGAAAAAGTAGAGTTTTGAGGCATTTTTGTGGTGGAACACACTTGGTTGTTATTCTAACAAAATTATAAATACTATCTAGGTTCTGACATGAAGGTTTCATATTGTATAAAGAGAACAAAAGGGCTGCAGGATGTGATTTCAAGTGAATATACACTGGGAGAGTTCAGCCTCTTCCTTGTAAGAAGGGAGGAGTGACCACTGCTAAAGGCTGTGACCTCTGGAAGAACATCTTCCTGCAGAGAAGCTCCTGACCTGCACGGGGGCCTTCTCATTTGAACTGTACTTGGAGACACTCTTCCTGCACCAGCAGGGAAAATAACAACATGGTGAGATCAAATTACTAGAGACCAAACAGAAAAACAGTAAAGAATAAAGAAAAGAGATAGACGGCAGTTTAGAAAGTGCT